AAATAATGGTGCAGATGAGGGCAACCTACATGAGAATATCTGAATTTGTATTAACTCAGAGGTTCTTTCATCTGGATTATTGTGGCTGGACAGTAAGAGGAAAGTGTTTAATAAGACTACAGTGAGTACATAAAACTCAGTAATGGTAAAACTATAAACATAGTTGGGACAACATTAGAATATTCAAAACTGAGCTATCACCTCCATACTCGGTGCTAATTGCATCTAGAGAAGATGAGGGTATGTTTTAGCAGATACATGTTGTATTTACCTGCATACATTTTTCTTTTGCTTGGCTAAAAAATTGCACTTTACTGCCTGGCGTAACTGAGAATGGATAGTCTTAGCTGACTGTAGCTGACTGTAGCTAACTTGTAGCCCACCTAGAGATCCCATCAACAAGAGCCACACACTGAAAATGACTCTGCACCCAAGTCTCAGCTCTCGGTTTGGGAGTTAATGCTAGCTAGCGGCTATCAGCAGATGACACAAACACTGCAGATGTGTCCATTTCTTTCCTGTCTGTGCTCAGACTGAACATCAAAGTGGACGTTTGGACGTACTTGAAGCATCCACTGTACTGTATGTAGCTGTATGGGATAGTCTTTATTTTAGTAACGTATAGATTATGTAGTATATACAGTATCTCTATGATTGATAATGAGCATGATCCTAACAAAATGGCAAATTACCCAAAATTCAGCATGGCGTGATGACAACGTCACATTCTGTCATTACATCTCATGTTCTAGAGGGTTTTTATCAGTAAAATCAGCTAATTTAAAAGCTTTCATCCAATAAATTAACTGATTTGGGTTTTTTTTTTAATATCAGTTAGTGGCTTAAGTTGCATAACTGACATTTCTTATCTTAAATTGCTCCAGTTTTTACTGTAACCAGTACTTCTTAAAGCTACAGCAATAGGCTTATACATCTCCTGATCTTCCCTTCAACTTCCTGTGACTGTTTGCTTATTAAGCATGAGATTTAGTTTATATCACTATATATCACTCAGGATAAGAGTTCAAGTTAATGGCATAAAATGTTAATTTAAACATCTACTCTGGGGCCCCCAGATGGAAAGGCGACAGTTTTGTCCTTGAGCGAGGCATTTGTTATGGACAGCTTCATTTGGAGGGCGTCAGTAGCTGGTATGGTTAATGAGTGACGTGAGGGAACGAAGAGGAGGCTGCAGGCTGCACACTGAGAGACTCTCCTTAGCTACAGTGTGAAGAGACAGACCCACTTCATTAAATGTCCTGTCTGTGTAAACACCGACTGCCTCCGGGACTGGCTGGAGTGAGGGAGTCAGTCAGTGAGTGAGTGTAGCCATCTGCATGCAGACAGGCACACACACAAACACAGTTTCTCTCCATCTCCCCCTGTGGCTCTTATTTTGTGAGCCTCAGTAAGATACGAGAGGGAGTGGGAAAAGGGGAGTAAGGTGGAAGTTTGATGCTATGAATAAAAATGCCATCACCAAAACATCACTGTCGGCACTAAGACGTTACAAGTGAGCACTTAGGCCCATTCCTCACCGGGCATGTAAAGCCATCAGCGAACACACGGGGAATAAGATTGAGAGACAAAGAGGAAAAGCAGATTTTCTTCTCCTGCGGCTCCAGTATCTCGATTGAAACACTGACAACACTGTTTATGCCCCGAGCCGTCAGCACTGCAGATACATAATGTGTGTAAACGGGATTGAATAACTGCTTGTTTGACTGTGTAGAAACCAGTGTTCTGATAATTGCTATGTTTTTTTACTGATCTAATCTGATGCTCATGTTTTCAGATGTAATTTCAGCATGGTGATATGTGCCCAAGTAACTGACTTACAGTGTGTAAGTTTTCTCTGGGATGGTTGGACTGAGCTGAAAATGTTTGTCCTCATAGGTTTGGGCTCTGATGCTGCTTTCGCCCCTGATGGTGATTAATGAATTTGTATTGATTTTTCAATGCAATTTTAGTTGTTGTGTGTTTTCTATCTGCAACTTTTCCTGTATGAGTGTGTGAGCTTCTGCTTTATTGATCAGGTCTCTCTCAAATCAAATTAAATCAAAATTTATTTATGCAGCACTTTAAAAACAACTTGTTGACCAAAGTACTTTACATAGGCTACATCGAACTTAAATAAAAAACAAGAAACAGCTTCAACTTCCAAAAGCCATGGAAAATAAGCAGTGACCTAAAGACTGGCAGATCTAATATTAACAGGTAACCTGTTCCACGGTTTTGAGGCCATTACAGCAAAAGCACAATCACCCCAATGCTTGTTAGAGCCCTTGATATGTCTAAAAGAAACTGATTTGAGGACCTAAGAAATCTAACTGGCTTGTGCCACTGCAGACGTTCACTGAGGTAAGAAAGGGCCAATTCATTAAGTGCCTTAAAAACAAATAACAGTAACATAAAATCAATTCTAAAACGAATTGGAAACCAGTGGAGAGAAGCCAAGAACAGTGGTTATGTGGTCATATTTACCAGTACTTGTCAGCAGATGAGCAGCAGCGTTTTGAGCCATTTGAAGACGAGAAAAAGAAGAGTGATTAATTCCTGATTGCAGTCATTGCCAATAGTAGAGTCTAGAATTGATGAAAGCCATTTCACAATCAGCATAAGAGATAAACAACTTGACTTTTCTTGAATGGAAACATCTAATTACAGGAAACTGGTGAAAGTAAAACCTCTTAAAACGTTCGTCATGTTGCATGGGCAACATTTTGGTACCTTATAGTTGTCTAAAAGAATGGAGTATGGCCATAATGTTCCTAAATAAAGTAAATGCTTATGCTAAATCTGGAAAATTGCTCAGACCTATTTGTGGCATTGTCTCTCTAGCTGTTCTAACATGTCTCCATTGTTTACATGTAGGGACAAAAACCTTTAATGTCTGATGTCTGTAAGAGATTTGCCAGAGAAAAAACATATTTCCCATGTCGCTATCTCACAAAGACACTCTTTGAAAATCACCACATAACAAGCTTTCTGTCTGCTCATTAATTTTGTTAGTCTGTAGTCCAGGTTCGGCCGTAGCCAGTACATTAAACCTAGCCCAGTTATTTATCTGACTAGGTCAGGAGGCCTGTTTTTGAACCTGTTCTTCTGGAGGGTCTCGTTAGACGTACATTCCTGTGATTCCACACCTGGGAGCTTCTACTTCTGACTAGCAAGCTGCCACACTGAAGGAACATTTCAATGCTCTATCCAGCTTCCTCAGGGGATCTCTGTTAACTTGTCAGAGAGATCAGAGGTCAGGCTCAGCTTCAAAACAAAGACAAAGCTGATAGATTTTTTGTCTTGCTCAAGGACACCACTAGCTGATATGGAGGTCCAGGTGTTCTCTTTAGCTTTAGATCCTAACCAGGCAAAGGTTCTTAGCTTGTTATATCACATTACAAGTTCTGTGTAATATATTTTATTTAAATAGCACATATCAAAGAAACGAAGAACTTTCAGACGGTGTAGCAATAATAAAAATGTAAAAGACCATCTCATTGATATCCACTGGGTTTTCATATTCAATCACAGTTCCACAACTGGAAGCTGAGACTTCAGGTGTCATAACATTATTAAGGTGTGGAAAAAACCTTGGTTAACAAAACAAAATGCTTTGACTCAAAGTATTTGGTTTATTTCATAGACAGTAATATAAACACAGAAACAGTAGGACTGCATCCAGTGCACTCGGCATGTACTAAACATGCAGTGCTGAGTATACACTCAACCACAGTCTTGAGATGTTGTGACAGTGGGTGGACAGAGGGGTGTCAGCTGGTAAAGGATGAGGTGATGCAGCAGTGGTGGGGGGCCCACACAGACAACAATGGGATCCACAGGGCCTCAGAGTGCTTCACACTGCCATGTGTTCCTATTTCTGTTTCACAGCCTCCCTCTCGCTCTGCCTGTCTCTGTCCTAGGCCTGATGTTTTTCTGTCTGTGTGAACAGCACACAAGGTCATTTCTTACTTTAGATGTAGGCCAGTGGGTATGTGGAACAAAATGTGCAGTCAAATAACTAATTTTGTGGAGAGAAATATGATTTTTGTTTGTCTGAATGTGCACAAGGTCTGGAGATTCACATCTGATCTATATATCTTTTTTTTTGTTTTGTTTTGGGTTTTTTTTTTAAATAAAACTTCCCTTCAGTCATGGGAGCTCAGATGCTGTCTGACACACTGGAGTCTGTAAATATTGATATTTTCATTGTACATAGGAAAGTAGATGAGCAGAAGTCTCGGATTGACCACTGTGCACTGAATAATTCACTATACAGCTGCTGCGTCTGAGAATTATCTTCACTATGAAATGATAAAATGTTCTGCTGCAACATGGAAACCTTCCATCACTCATTTGGGACAGCTGTCATGGGGTACGGTCCCATAGTAGCTCAGCTAAGGACAAGGAGACCGAGCACTGCAAAGTCAATCAGCTGATGAGACTGGGATTTGAGGAAATGCTGCAATTCGATCAAAATCCAGAAGCACTCAGTGTAAAAAAACATGTAGTACTTTTATTCCATAATATAGAAAGAATAGATAATATCGATGCAGCAGCTAAGATGTTTTATTTTCTAACATGAGTTAAGCTCCAAAACTATTGATCCCACCGTGTCCATATTGCAGCTTGTTTCAGACCCACTGTGCTCCCAGTTTGTAGCAAAAGCTTTCTGGTGTTGGTTGTGAACTGACTTTCATGTGTAAAGATATTGCAGTAGCTCATTAAATTGTATTATGGCTGATCATAAAACTAATCAGCTTTTGATAGCCTGGGAGCGTTTTTGTGATAAATTAGGCTCAGAAACAACAATGTGCACAAACTCTATTATGAGCAGCAAAGAGCTCTAAAACATTATAGAAGAAACAAACACCAGTGTTCAGGACATTTATACTGTATGTGAACATCAGTTATGAGCTCATATCCATCCATCATCAGCTCATCTGTGTTTGCACTTTGCAGCAGCACAAGCCTAAACTCGCATCTCCCCTCTCCTCCCACAGGTACGACTATGTGGAGGTTTACAATGGCGGGGATGATCTTTCGCCCATGTTGGGAAAGTTTTGCGGAAAGATTGCACCATCTCCGATCATCTCCAGCGGCAGCCAGCTCCTCATCAAGTTCGTCTCTGACTATGAGACCCATGGGGCAGGATTCTCTGTTCGCTACGAGGTCTTCAAAACAGGTGTGTGGTGGCCAGTGGTTTCACCCTATTCCTATTGTTGTAGCTGCTTGTGTTGGACAGCAGCCTCAGCTAACAGCCTAAACTAGAGGTGAGGCAAGTGCTGTGCTGCTTTCCACACACTCCGCTGAATATGATGAATCACCTCATGGAAAAAAGCCAATTTAAATTCAATTTTATTGTAGTATTGCCAAGTTCCCACTTGACTCTGGTTTGTTCTGTAGCTTTTGGATCAGTGTTGTGCATCACCGTGCTACACCTGGTGATGAGAAACAACCTGCAATAAATACTTTTTTTTGTGACTTTAACTATTTCAGGAGCAGCTGTTGAAGGGCAGCAGAGGATGTTAACAAACTAAACAGACTGGAATTTTTACTATGCCCGTTCTCTGTGACTTACAGGAATATTCAGGCTCCATACTACAGTGCATTAGTTTTATCCTTCATTCATATGAATAATAATGAGAGATCTGGGAACACGGCAGCTTCTAAAAGGGGTCAGGGAGAGCATGAGATATGAGCAGCCAACTGACTGGGCTGAAATGTTTCCATAACAACAGGTGTTGTGGTGAATTTACGTAAAGTAAGGGCAACATGCCCATGATCATCAAGGGTTAAATAGTTCAGCCTGTGAAGAACTATACATTTTCATTATCACAGTTAAGTATGATGCAGGAAAGCCATACAATTATCTGGTTATCTGACTGCTCATGTTTCATGCTCAGTTTGAATTAATTAAAACAATGTGTGTTCCCAGATCCCTGTAATTACTCTTGGGGAGTTCAGTGCTGTTGTTCCTGATAGAAATAATGAGCAAAAGTCAAGTTATACAAATCTGTGCTCTAAAATAGCCTTTGAGAAAATAGAGCACTTAAAATTGTTTCCAAGTTTACTTCCCAGTGTTGTCCAAGGTTGTCCAAACAGAGCTGAACCTCTGGTACCCAGACCTTTGATCTAAACTCCAAGACCCAGAATTCCACTGGAGCAGGATGCTAGCAGGACAGACTCATATAAACACTGCTTTGCTTCCATGTCCTACATTTGTATTTGAACTTCCCTCTTGGGTCCACTTGGGTCGTCGCCAAAACGACGAGTCTCCTGTGGCCACTTCAGCTTCCACCAGTGGGGACCAGAGATAAATCAGATGAAAAGGGGAGCACAGGTTTGTCTGAGACTCCTCTTGATTTTCTCTTTGCTCCTCAGAGACCCTTGACAGGATCCAGAAATAACAATCCCCAGGCTTAGTTATGTTGAAAAGTCCTGTATTGTACTATGGAAAATGATTATACAAGTGCTCCTTTGTACTTAAAGGAGGAGTAGGGCAATCATATGAGCAGGTTTAGGGGCTTGGTTCACTCAGGAGCCCCCACAGGCTTTGCTCTCCCTGTACTCAGAGCCATTTGTTCTCTAAAATACAAAGAGTAGCCCTGCTTCTGATACCCAGATTCTGCTTATATCAACTTGAATTTCAGGGTGCAAAGTGGAGCTGTACGGATGAATGACAGGATGTTATTAGAAGTCAGTGTAATGAGTCTTTAAAGTAGGTCAGCTTAGAAGGAACACTTGGGATTTTTTAAATATGTTGCTTCGACAAAGATTTGTGATGATTTGTATTTTAGCTTTGATCTCTAATAAAACAATTCAATTGGGATTCATAGACTGTGGCAGTGTTAAGGTCACCTTGTCATTTTTTGTCAGAAGAAGTCAAACTATATCATTTTTTAGCTGAAATAGAGTGATGGTGGTGAAAATGAATTTGAAAGTTGACATCAGGTTAGCAGATTTTGAGTGAAACATGCCTTTAAGCAATTAGCTCCACCCCTAAATGTCACAAACTGCTGTACATGCACCTTGTGTAGGGCTGATCTTCTATAGGCAAGATATTTCAAAGCAGCAACTGAAATCTGCTCTAAATCATCCGCTGCAATGTCTCTATTGTATTAATACGGTTTGTGGATGAATAAAACATTCGAGTTTGATTATCGTATGTTGTCAGGTCAGTCGGTCTGAGCACGCAGTGGGTGAGCGATACAGAAGCTGTCAGGTCTGTGAGTCTCTACACACTTGTTTTTGTTAGAGAAACAAAGCCACTGTTTTTCTGTTGTTGTTGAGCACGTCCGGCCGCTGCCTCCTCTCTGTGGCTACTGCTCAGCCGCAGGATGGATGCTTCAGAGCCAGCTGGGAGTTTTCTACGTGTGTGTGTGTGTTTGTGAGAGAATATGGTAATTAACCTTTTACATGTCTTTTCTTTTTATTTTGTAATGTTGTCTGCCAGTATCTGTCTGTCTTTGGGATTTGGTGTATATATGTGGTTTCTTGTGTGTGTGTGTGTGTGTGTGTGTGTGTGTGTGTGTGTGTGTGTGTGTGTGTGTGTGTGTGTGTGTGTCCAACAGACAGGTGCGTTGGACCACAGGCTCATTTAGCTAATGGGTTGTTTGTCATTGGTGGCAACAGGGACGACCTGCAGATGAGATGGATGCTCTGGCACAGGAGAGGGCTCAGAAACTAGGACAGCCTGTGTGTTAGTGTGTTTGTGTTTGTGAGTCCTGTACCCTCTAACAAGTTAAAAACAGCACTTGTACCCGCTCAGGTAATCCCCCTGCCATGTAGTTGCTATCTTGCCACATTTAAACTCCATTACAGTCAGAGCAGCATATTGAAAGTCGCTGCTAACAGGAGCTGATGCTCTGGTTCCTCTCTGATGAGACCTCACTCTCTGGCTCCGCATTTTACTGATAACAAAAGCCTTGTGGTCATGTAAGCAGGTAAATGACAAAAAAAAAACAGCAACCCTCATTCACATGATGAGCACCATTTACACTCAAAGTGGATGAATCTCTGGACTAATGAACACTACCGTCCACCTGCTCCTTATTCATAGTTTTTAAGTGAATTCTCAGACTTTCTGTCTGATTTAGTGCTTAGTACAGATAAAATAATTATAGTAGGCGACTTTAATATTCATGTAGATGCCGACAATGACAGCCTCAACAATGCTTTCTGTTCATTATTAGACTCAGTTGGCTTCTCTTAAACTGTAAATAAACCCACTCACTGTTTTAATCACACTCTTGATCTTGTTCTGACATATGGCATCGAAACTTTGATCTGTTAATAATCTTTGGAGGAGGTGATGTTAAAGTGTGGAGTGTGAACCAGATATTTCCTGTATTTTCACCAGAAACAGTGCATATGAAGCTCTTTCTAGAAAGAAGATGCCTGGCACCACCAAGCAGCATTAAAGGTCTGTGGAGCTGTGAAACTCGGCAATATTAGTCTCTCTTGGCTGGAAGAATTTAATGGCACAGCGGACAACAAGAAAGAGCCAGCGACTGAAACGGGGATTTAGGAACAGTATGTTTTTTGAGATGAATGTTCAGAGTTTTTCAGCTGAGAATAATTAACTTCACATTTACTAGTTTATCCGGTCGGATTTCACAGCTCACATCAGTAACAGTCAACGGACAGCAAGCTAACATGAATGGATAACGTTAAAGCTAGCTTATGTGCCGATATAACGCTGTATGCTCTATTTAGCGACAGACAGCTCGATAACATTTTTCTTTCGACAGTTTTACTTTGTACATAAAAAGGCAACTTTATCAATTCGGATTTACGTTGTCAAGAAATCACGCAGCCTTTCCCGTCAGTCAGAGTTTTGATTTGTTAATCCTTGTTTGGGCATAACTAAAGAGTTTTGTTTAGCTAGCTAACGGTAGCAACTAATCCAACTGCGAGTGCAGCGTTATAAGTCATCATGTATGCACAGACACGTTTACTTGGATGAAACCCACCAACGCCCCCACCGAAATGTACCCAAGGGCACAACAACATTAAGTCATGTCGGACTGACAACAGCACCGTGGCTCCGCCGGTCACAACAACAAGCAGAGCAGAGAGGGCATCAAAAAGCTGCAGCTAGCCTCCAGGAGACCACCACCAGGTTCATTTTCGACTCAGCCACCAAATCCTGCAAAAATGGGGTATGTAACTTGCAGTACAGTGAAATGTCAGGCTGTAATTCTCACTCAGCATGTCAGGGTTTGACTGACTGTGTGTTTGTGTTGATTTGAACAGTACTCCAAACCTAGCCACCCACTGCTAACTGTATGAAGCGCGCTTGTCAGCTCTGTAGTGCATGAAAATAATGCCCCAGGTACCAGTGGTGGAGGAAGTACTCAGATTCAGTACTTAAGTTAGAGTAGTAATACCATATTGTAAAAATACTCTATTACAAATAAAAATCTTGTATACAAAATGTTGCTTAAATAAAAGTGCAGAAGTATTAGCATCAAAATATACTTAAAGTACCAAAAGTATAAGTGAAAGTGCTGAAAGGTACATCTCACATAAATGTATGTTATATAATTGGATTGTAGCCTAATTATTGATGCATTATTGTCTTCATCACTTTAATGTTGCAGCTGAAGGTGAAGTACTTTGCATACTGCTGGGTAGCTTGTGATTTTGCCACTGAGAATAAAGTCCTATGATTATATTGTAGTTTGTTTCATTAACCTGAGTCTGAAAAGTAACTAAAGGTATCAAATACATGTAGTGCAGTAAAAAGTATATTTGCCTCTAAAATGTAGTGAAGTCTTACTATGAGGTACCAAAACATGAAAATACTCAAGTAAAGTACGGATACCTCAAAATTGTACTCAAGTACATTTCTTGAATAAATGTATGTAGTTACCTTCACTGGTAAATGGATGACAGTGAGCAGATCTAGTATTACAGCTCAGATGGGACAGAGCAGTGCATATTTTATGGAGTGTGATTAAAACAATGTCTGGAGAGTTAGTTGTTGTATAAAGAACTAAAACTATTAGTCCATTAATCAGTTATCAGACCATCTGCAGGTAGTTTGATAATCATTTAATTTTTTTAAGCAAACCTTGGGGGGAAAGCAAGATATTTGCAAATTCCACTTCTCAAAAGAGAACATTTGATGCTCCTCTTTGTAATTTTTCATTGTAACCTGAGTATTTGGAGGTTTTATGA